AAAGTTGATATGCTGTCAAAGAAAGATATAGCTTGTTACAAACAACTTTTTTATTCAAGATAAATGGCAAAACATGAGAATTATAAATAAAATGAACAAAAGACTTAAACAAGCAAGTTTCGACTTGTTTCGCAGACCATGAATTAACAAACAATGCAGAATATTTAGAACAACTTAAGGATTAGTTGTTTATTGGTTCTGTTAAAAAGGAACATCATCCTGTCTTCTAATTTTTTAATGGAAATAAATTTTAGTGCTCCGGCCATTTACCAACATAACAATTTACTTTCGTACCTGGCAAAAGGCGTGGTTAGCTTGCTGAGATAACAAGTTATAATTCGTAAATAGGAGGCTGTCAGTTAATGTGAAGTTTCCAATACTGAGGTTTGTATAAGCCATCCAGTTCTGTAGCAATGAAATAAAAAATCATATTTTAGAAATTTGAAGCCGTTTTTGCCATATGATGTTACTAAATCAGGTGTCTGCTATTAAGCTGAAGGGGGGAGTTAGAAGCACGCCCCCTATAACTCAAAAACCGCATATGATAATATAGCTAGACCAGATAATTTGGTCATAATAAAGTGCTCAACATATCTAACATCTTGAGATAAACTGACCGACAAAATTATGTAGTGTGACTTCAGCTTGAATATAATAGAAAACATTTAAATGGCAAGGTGTCTGATTAAATTGCGAAGTAGGCTGACACTGATTAATGCCCTTAACAACAGAAGTGACAGGATGATGAACAGGAGGAACTGGAACTTTCAATCGGGCATGCATCTGTAAGAAATGAGAGCATTTCAATCCAGTTTCGTCGATGGAGTGTTTGAATTCAACTCAACTATCGCGTCATTAAGGGAAGGCTGAAGACACTTGTCCCACTAAAGAATATTTCTAAAAATTTCTTAGCGATAAGCCTTACCGATATTACAGAGTCTATCTTGTTGTCAATTCAAATAAAACTAACTGAACACTGTACCTGAATTGCAGATCTTAAATAGACACCCTTAGGATATTTGAAGAATACATTTTCACCGTTTAATTGATTTTGAACAAGTTAAATGTATTTGTTTTGCTTATTTGTGTGTAGAAGAATATTCTGAAAGCAAACTTAATGTGCCAGCAATAAAATTCAGAGGGAAATGAACATTCTTGGAAAATTATCTCAACACTTCTGTACATTAATTTTCTTCAAAAACCTTGATTGCATTTTTACAATTTTCTCTTTAACAATTTTTTATCATTTACGCCAATCAGAAAATCTAGAAAAAAAGAAAGAAACGCATTAAAGTGAAAATTCCAATTTTTGCAAAATATGGCTGTCAACAATCGGTGGCAGCGGACACTGACATTGGGGACAAATGTTTCAGACAAGTTTTAGGAAGATTGCTAAGCTTGGTACTCATTAAGCATGAGCCTTAAGTTTGGAGCCTGGCAAAAGCCCCTTCCCCGCGGTCTGCATAACACTAAAGTTTTACGGAAGAAGGAACCTGATTTCAATTCATTTAAACGAGTACTAAAATATAGCTCATTAAATGGTTTAATTACTTATACTAAGGTTCAAGCTAGAAAGCGTTCCAGCTGACTTCCAAAGCAGTAAATGGTAACAGAAATATACTTGGGGAATGTATTTTTTTCTTCAATGTTTTACCAAATTCGAAATTACATATTAAAAAGAACTGGACTTAAAATTTTGGCATATTTATTTATTGCTATAACTTAATACGTAAGAACTTTACAAATCTATGATAACTTCGACTATTTTTCTTGTGATTATGATAAACTTAAGAGCAAATAAGCGTCTTTGGGCAGCTCATTGCAGAAAAAATAATTGAATGGAAATTTAAAGCAATTTAAAATTTCAAGCTCACAATAGCAATGCCTTTGTGAAGTCCGTCGAAAATCTTTACTTCCCTGAGGCAGATTTTGAAACTGTCTTCGGTCAACTCCTCCACCCAGACTGCCATGGCGTCTTGAGGTCTCTCAGGAAACTGGTGACTTGGAGTTGCAAGTAAAGTTGGAGAGGTCAAAAAACGCTTTAAATAAAAAAAAAAAAAGAAAAATAAAAAGAAAAAAGGATTAGTTAAAATTGAACAAGTAATAATATTACTATAACAATAATAATAATAATAATACTATACTATTATTATAGTGCTAAAAATAAGGAGAAAAATTTTGCTGAATTACAAATAAAAGAGCACTGAAAATTCTAGACAGAGGAAAGTGACCAAAAAAAAAAAAAATGAGAGCTAGAATGTATTTCCGTTTGGTACCGGAACGCACACCGCGTTTGAAGAACAACGTTATCAAATTCTTTAACAAAGGAAACGCCAAAGATAATAAATCATACACGGTGACTGACTGCCAAATCTCTTTGTTTTGCCAACTTAATATTTCTAAATTAAGTTCATTTTAACTGAAAATTTACAACAATTTAAACAATGCTTGATGCGTTCCGTGTTATTGTTTTATAAACTAATAGATTAGATAGCAATTGGAAACTAACTTTACCATTATAAAGGCCAATGTTTCATTGCTTATATTTAAGACTTGTTGTATGTGAATGCAAGTGTCAGTGTATGACGGATTATATGGGTAGGTATAAGTGTATTTCATGAAGAGCACATCACTCTTCGGAATAGTGGGGGTTGGTGTTGAAAGGCTGGCTGGTTAAGTTTAATACACCCTGGAGTCCTACATAACCGTGCAAACGTCTTATGGTTGGAGGGGGCAGGGAAAGGTGTTACACGAGTTTTCGCTTTCTTTGTGGCTCGTATTGTCATTGCGAAAGTTCGTGAATTGGTAATTGCACGGATTAGTAGGTTATTCCACGCATAAAAAAAAAAAAAATCGATCAACTTAGAGCGTAGTGTCAACCAAAAGATTATTTGTGCTTAATAGCGGAGCTCCCGCGCGCGCGAAGCGCGCGCGCAGCGGAGCACCATGGGTAAGAAAATTTGGTAAACCATCCATCCCAGAAAATTTGGTTATGACGTAGCGTACGCCCGTCCGTACACACACTTCATGTAAGCCGATGTCAAATGTCACAATAGATCTTGCACAACTTGACTAGCCTCTTAGTTATGTAAGCCATCCGTATGAGTACGATTAGATTGACAGCTGTCAAAATCAGACATCCGCTGACAATTATCACATGACCGTCTCGCGGGCTCAGATAAAAGACCAGTCGTTTTGCCCCTATATATAAGCTGATATAATATGTCACACTTACCAATTCAACATAAAAGCGAAACTACGCCGGGCAAGGCTGTCAGTTGGCTGACAGTCCTTTAAAGTTACATTGGCAGGCCAAATTAAGTTAAATTGACAGCTGTCAAAATGGGACATGTGCAGACCGCTATCAGAAAACTAATAACGAGGGCTCAGGTTCGCTCAGGTAGACGATCTGGCATTTTCCACTACATGCCGGACGGAAATGTCCTACTCAGACTCGTAGTCTGTTAATTCGAATATTCGCCATTCTAATTAAGGTTAATTAACAGCTGTCAAACTAGAGTATACGCTGACCATCATCACCTGAGTGGATCGGGGGCTCATTTTTCTATCTATTGAGGTCACGTAGTGTTTAAAGTTTTGCGCTGATATTTTATTTGATCACGGGCTCAATTCGAAGCCCCATAGCTTTATAAAAAATCTATCTATCCTAGAAAATTCGGCAATAACGTGACCGTACACCGACCACCCGACCCTCCGTCCGTCCGTACCACAGGCATACCAATGTTTAATCTCACACTTTCTAGCTAGTTTGGGAGCCTGCAACCTGATATTGTACATCCATGTTTTGATTAATTGACAGCTGTCAAAACAGTGTTTCTGCTGACCAGTATCGCCTGACCGTATCGCGGGCTCAGTTATCGACCCTCTGAGTTCGAGTAATATTTTGAAGGTATCGCTGACAAGTTGCTACTTTTCAAATGATCGCAGGCTCAAGTTCAATTGTTTTAAAATGCATATGAAATAAGTCGTGTTTCATGAGCCGCACTTTTAAAATGTTGATTTCGAACTGATCTCGGACACGAAAATTCAACCGGCTTTTACATTTACATGCAGGGAAGGCAATCGCTTTTGACTTTTCTCACTGTCACGCGTTGATCACGCTCTACGTCCAATTTTTATGTTCTGATTGGTCAAAATTTGACAGGTGAGATTATGCGGAAAATTTTTGCATCGTCTGGAAACTTGCTTACTGATAGCTGGAGCTGAGAGAGTTTTGTGTCATCTTGTGATATTTTAAACTGTCTTTTTCTACTTGGTGTACAAAATGAAATACAGCTGCTATCAAGATTGTTCTTTAATTCATTTGTTGACAAATGCACCGCTTGTCAAAGTCATTGGAAATCCGATTTCGGATGGCATCGTTTTCAAAAATGAGCTTACTCACTTGCCCTTGCTTGAGGCTTAAGAAGGTTGAAAAGTCTGAAGCGATTCTGGAACACTTGATGACCTTCAGAAGCAGCATCTCGACTGGTAAGCTTGAGCCATTATTGTTTTTGATGTTTTTTTTTTTTCGGTTTCCTCAGGAAGTCAAGCGTATGGTTTATGCCGCTTAAGTTAAAACACGAGCAATGATCTAACCTACAATAGTATCAGGTTTAAAAAGCCTTTAGACATTTTTTGACCCGCAATTTCAAAGAAAAGGTTCCGAAGATTATTTAGTTATGATTTTGGCTGTAAACAGAAAGCTCTGAGCGATTTTCTTGCCTCGAGTTCATCTTGAAAAAGAGCGAACACCGGGAAGCCGGCTTAAAACATAAATAAGCTTATGCTTGCCTGACTCATGATTTTCTGAGACACTTTCCTCTCAATACTTCTCTTCGTGAATGAAAATTATTTTCTCTGTGCATGTTTCACCGAATTAAACTTATTTTATTGATTGTCAGTAGTCCCTCTCGCAATTTTCATCGCTGCACCGGTTGTTTCCAGTCGAACATAAACACCGCATGTAGGAATACTCAAAACGCCGCGCGTAAATATCACTCGCTTTTAAAGATTACACTACAAAATCATACACAGTTTAATGAATAAAGGGAAGTAAAACCTAAACATAACAATTTCTCTATCATGTTGAAGCGTAAATGGTAACGCTATTAATCGCACTGCAAATTTGGTGCCTGTCAAAAGTGAGAACCCGTCCGGCTGGCCGAAAAGTGATTTTGGGAATTTTTTTTATCGTTTTCATTAAAAGCCCATAATAATTATTACCTCGCATATCACATAGGACCAGATTTTACTAACAGAAAACGTTTTATAATTCAATGCTATAATTTGTTGTGCAAAGGAAGCGCGTGCTTTGATCGTTGTGGATATTGAATGAGTGCAAATTCTCTTGCAAAATTGTGAAAAACTGCAGAATTATAAGTTTAAATAGGGCAAAAAAGAACAAATTCTGTCCGAGGTCTGTGTACTGTTTACCTGAGACGTGATGAGAAAAAGTATGTTTAAAAGGCTGGTTTACACGCCACCAGATTCGTCGCCAAGATTTACTAGTAAACTAAACTTGTCGAACAGAAAAAATCCGGCCTGATTTTTATTTTGGCCTTTCTTTTAGACAGAGGAATGCAACTTGTAAATTGGCTGCCACCAAGGACTATCGTGGCGCATGTGTTTCTTAAAATTATATTTCGGGGTTGTCCAATTATCCATAGTCTCTCTAACGGAGCAATGTTGCAGAGACTGGTGAATGCCACATTATGATGCTACAGCTAATGCAAATGCAATACACGAATAGGTCTATTTGTTTTCCAGACCTAATCTACTGTGATCGAACATGATTGCTATTTTTCGCTGTACAAATAACTTGATGTAAAATTTGTTTCACTCTTGGACGGTCGAATTCTGATTTTTCTCTAAAATCACTCAGCCTTTGCCTCAAAAGTCAAATGAATGTGCCCTGATCTGTGGATTACAAGTTTATTGTTAGATTTAAATTATGAATTTATTAACGGGAGCTTCGCTTTTAGCCCTGGCTAAATCTATATATTATTTCTTTATTCAAATGCGTTGCAAATCGATCATTATGTGTCTGTTATATAATGTTAAAGAAGTTCTGTCGGATAGGAAAATGATTCTACAGAAGTGAACACACGCCCAGCGTTTGAACAAATAATTGCATGATGAAGGGTCAGGACAACGTTTTTCAACGTCAAAGGAGGTATGCATTAATATGTTCTTTGCGTTTGAGCCAAAGAAAATGTTTGACAATAATATTATTTTAGAGTGTCATCTGTCAGGAATCCAAGAATGTCCTTTATTGCAAAACGAAATCGGATTTGGCTGTTCAACGGCAAGATGAAAGTTCCATTTGTGTGGCAAAGGCCGAGTGCGATTAGCAGGGAACCACACCAACAATCAACTTTTAATTGGCGAATCAAAACAACTTATCCTACCTTCTCCTTTAATACATTCAACTGCGCGTATGACTTAGCCGTAACACTGGGCGTCCCAAAAACAAACAATAAAAATGCAGCAAAAGAAAAAGGGAGAAGGATGCATTAACAAACTGACCTTGTTCATTCAATGGTTTCATCATAGGAAAAACTCTCTTTTAGTATACATCTTTCTGAGAACTCGAAGAAATGATACATTTCCAGACTATGATTAATAGAAATTTTCTCCAAATGAGTAGTAACCTTATGCATATCGTTATTGTGCTCATCTTCCAAAACCACTTTGTCTGACCGTTCTGGATTCTTCCTTTTTGCAATCAATCACAGTTACTTTGCACAGTGAACATATTATTTTCAAAATTAAACTAACCTGAGGAAAGTAGATCTTCTTACATTCTGTTCCGGTAGTCCAAGATTCCAAGGAAGTAGTTCCTAGTTGTGCCCCCGGAGGGGCAGATTGTAGGGCAATCCAGTTTATCTCAGCAGTTGTATTTGAGCCGTTTCTGTACTCGTAGATGCAAGCGCGGAATTGAGTTCTGTCTACTGATTCCACCCAAATAGCAGCACCATTACCAAGGGTTTGGCTGTTTACTGAGTGTCCAGACGAAGCAAACACTTTCACTTGCTTTCCACCAGAGAACGGTCTAGCGAATGTGATTTTCTCACAAGCGAACAACCCTGTGTTCTTGGTAGTTGTATTGATTTTTCCAGCTTTGAAAATGACTTCTGTAAAAGAATAATAAATGTTTAGGCTAAAATAGCCTCCTGTTAACTCTGTGTTATTGCATTTGATGGATTTTTGAAAAGTTACACGCACTGAGCGTAGCTAGAGTCCTTAACGTTTGAGTATAAGCTCGTATTCAGTACCTTCCTATTTCCGTGCGTGCCCCACCACCAATGCCTTCTACCTTACTCGAAATGAAACTTCCACATTATTTTGCCAAAGAAAATTGCCGACAACTATTTGCATATTAGAGCGTATATTCTTAATAAACAAAAAATTATCCAATATACCTTGACTTCCTTCAATTAGAAGCACAGCAGTAAAAATTGCGTAGAGGACAAACGGAAGGTGTTGCTCTCCCACCAT